TCCTACGGAGGTCTGCCAAGTACACGTCTACAGATTGGTTTGAATTCAAGCGTCTAGCTACTGGTCGTATGCTACGAGTGGAACTGTGACAAAGGCAGCGTACAGGGCATCCCTGATACGGCCTACATCTTTTCTTTCTTCCTTGCGCCTCCTGTCAATCGAAGTGACAGAACGCCAGCAATGTTCTTCATGCCTCACAAATCACAGACTAGTTCTGACTTTTCAAATCATTCGATAATAGTGAGACCCCGGTCCGAACCATCAAATTCAGGGATTAACTTCAGGTTGAACTTGCCGTCAGCCATGAGTGCCGAAATATCTAGATATAATGTAAGCAAAAAGTCTGCTGAGATTGGGGGGGGTACCTAACCGATTGCTCTCCCAACAACTATGTGAGTAATAGGCAGAGAGGGAAACTTGAGGAACAAAAATGTCCACGGGACCAACTTCACAAGACACCGTGTTTTTCCTCCTGCTTTTATTGGGATGAGGCATCTTACAAACACTTGACCAGTTGCAGAGAGGCCCGTATCGAGACATGCCAAGCTGTTCCGCTGCTAACATGAAAAACCCGGATGTAACTGGTGTCGGCAAACATGTCCGTATGCGAACCGAGGCCTCTGTTGCGTCTGTAATGACGTGCGTTCGCCACAAGTTCCCAGAAAGATTTTCCATTTTTAAAATATATTTTAAACCTTAGGTATCGGGAATTTTTTTAGAGATACCTGTGTGTGTGTGTGTGTGTGTGTGTGTGTGTGTGTGTGTGTGTGTGTGTGTGTGTGTGTGTGTGTGCCGATCACAAGTCATCGTGACCAAGCTTTTGAGAACGTACTGGACCTTTTGAATTAATGATCAAGCCAAAGTACCTACTCTCTCTCTCTCTCTCTCTCTCTCTCTCTCTCTCTATCTATCTATCTATCTATCTATCTATCGAAATTGTAACGAAGATTCGCTCAACATAGTTGCAGTACAGAATAATTATTCTCATTTAATTAAAATATTTCTCATTAGTTTTATCGTTCGTTTTTCAAGTTGGAAATATAAAATATATAAAATAATTGTATATTATTAGTCAGTTAGAACTAAAGATACAGACAAAAATGTTTAAGTCGATAAATCTCTTGTTGAAATCATCTAAAAAAAAGGTTCTCTGCAAAATCCCGTGAAATTTTTTCACATAATAATATTAATTTCATAAGATGATATAAAAAAATGGTAAATATATTTTCTGTTATTTGCATTTACTTTTTATAGTAACAGTTAAAATCTGTAACCATTGAGTATAAGACTATAATTTCACTTTTATTATTATTAATGTCCGGACAAGAAAAATGTTTGTGTTCTTTGCAAAAAGCAGTTTCACAGAACAGCAACCCAGTTATTAAGCTCTTACCCGACGCAGACAATTCAAGTAATTCAATAATAATTACAGTATTAAATAGAATAATTCAACATTTTTTTTTAAAAAATGTGACGTTTTAGAGTTTGTGAGATTTTATTTCTGTATTGTTCAAAGATTATTTATGTTTTGTTTTTGTTTTTTAATTGAGTGGTGGGAATTAGTATCTCACAAGACCGCCCCCACCCAAATCACAAGCGAACATCACCCCGGCTATATATATGCCAATAATTAAAAACCAGAAACCAGGTGACCCACTCCTCCCTATTTTATCGCACTAGTTTTAACCCGTGAAAATTTCACGGTTTTCCTATTTTAAATTTTTGGTGAACCTTATTTCTTCAGTTAATGATTGGTGAGTTTGTCGGAGTTAGCTCCTCCTTAGTTCCTTAATCCTTCACCAGGGGTCTCTCTCCCCTTGCTATAAATACTGAGTGACCTTTTGCCTCGATCTCTCTTTTTCCCTCAGGCCTTGGGCCGTATCCCACCTCGTGTGGATGTGAGGTAATTCTTTCTCTTCTTTCTTCATTTCAGCTAATACCAATATGTAAGCTCTCACTAATACAGCGTTTCCCAAATTCTGGGAACACGCTAAGAACAATACCAATACACGTACGTACGAACACTCACCACAATACACACACAAACTCAATGTAACTGTCCATGTGCTTGTAACTTGTTGTTAATAACATATATTTGTTTATATATAATTATTGGTCTTGTTTGTTTTCTTTGTCTTCTTTGGACTTAAAGTCTAACATTCTCACGTAGCTGGACCGGCTAGCAGGAAATTTTAACCCACGTGTGTTCTTTACATCTTCACCCCACGGTCCTCTACAAGTTCTACGACAATAAAGTATCCGTAGAAATTCCCATATCGCATCGTTAAATATTTGAGCTTAACAACTTTAACAAAATATTACAATAACAATCATAAATATGAATTACGACGCCTATATACCAATTAGCTAAAACTTTAATCCAATTAGTCATACTATATCTTCGTACAAAATGTAGTATTAATTCTAACCCATCACTTACACCACAATATACTTTAAGGTGCATTTAGGCAACAAGAATTCTTTTAAACAAATTTTGTTGAATAATATCGATAGATCATGTCTATCCAATTTTTTATTAAGTTTTTCTAATTTACGAATAAGTTACTTAATATAATTGGTAAACTTTCTAAAGTTCATTTTTGTATTTTCTTTTCCCGATTACATTTCGAATTTATTTCGACATTTATGTATGACCACATCACCCCCTTACATCTGGCCACCTAACTCCCCAGACTTGATTATTATGTGTCGTTGAGCGAGAGACCAACAAAATTCCTTGTAATACCAAAGAGGAACTGAAGGCTAAGATTATGGCAGCATTCACCAGCTAAACAAGGAGACCGTGCAGAAGAGTTGCAGGAGATTCCGAAGTCGTCTGCAGGCAGTTGAAGCTAATGGCGATTTTATTGAATAAATTTAATGTTTAGTATTTCAAGATATTTTTGTTTAATTTTGGTAAATATATCTTTTAAAATGAGATGTCTGTGTTATTTTCATTTTTGCGGTATTTAGACAACAATTTATCCATCGCACCCTGTATGTGTCGATTTTTTTTTTTAATTTGTAGGTCTGACGAATTGGATCGTCATTTCGATTCCAATGTAATAAGTTATAACCATGGAATATTAGTGTTTGAGCCTTTTTATATTATATTCTTGCTCTGTCCTGGACATTAAGCTCTACCTGGATTCTATCCTCTTGGAAATATATATATATATATATATATATATATATATATATATATATATATATATATAAAACTATGAACCTAAAAACCAGGCAGACCTACCTACGCGGATCGTCAGGGTACACTGATGATACGCGTAGGTGAAACCTAGGTAGGTTTGCCTGGCTCTTTAGGTTCATAGTTAGATTTGCTCTGCTTAGTGTATTGGGCACTTTATTTAGTTACTTTTGCTTTACTCGTGTTAGAGTTTTTTTTTTCTTTGGACTCTGAGCTTGGATTCTAGACGATTGTTTTTGCCTCAATTACATGTTCTTAGTTCTTTCTTTTTTTATCCCTTATTTTTCCTTGGGTATTGGTTTGTTCATTTACAAGCCAAAACACCCAACGTTTTTCCAAACGAGTATAATTGCTTATATTCATAATATTATATACATATATATATATATATATATATATATATATATATATATATATATATATATATATATAATGGTTGCCTCCCTGTGACTTTTCTATAGATACTTTCATAGTAATCGTTCAGGTGAGCTCTTCGCTAAGATACCTAGATTCTTGGATTTTTTGCTCAGTACTAGACTGACGATGAGGTCTTACCAATTTACAGTTGAATTGGCTAGATGTAAGCGTAAATTCTATGCTAACAGTTTCTTTTCTCGAACTTCTCGCTTGTGGAACTCTCTTCCGACTCCATGCTTTCCAGCCAACTTTAATCTTCAAAAAGTTAAATGGAATGTCAATCGCTATCTACTGTCTTCCTTATTACTCTTCTTTTGTTCTTGATCCTTAGTAATGTTTCTGTTTCTAACTGTTCCACCCCCCTTGTGTCTCAGTGGCTTTATTGCCTTGTTTCGGGTGAAATCGATTTAAAAAAAAAATATATATATATATATAATAATGGCCGGCTACTCGTTAGGGCTGCTAGCCAATCCCTACTGCAGACGCCTTCTCAATTACGTTAGCGTTTTTCCAAGCCCACAGAGCCCATCTCTGGTTTATGCTGCAACTATGCTGAGTGGACCTTAGTTACAGTTTCTGGGAGAGAGTGCATAATCTGGCGTTACCAAATGCATTACACTCAAACTCTCGGTCACGATGACTTGTGACTTCGTGCTAGCACACCCATTGATGGCCTCCGAACAGTTTCGGCTACCCAATTTTACTCATAAAACTTGAATACACCCGTTGTATGGTTTTCAAGCACTGTTGCACGCTGGGTTCGCCTCGCCAGGACGATAACATCAAAAAGTCAACATCTTAACAAACTGACCATGGTAAGATTCGAACTTAGGTCTTGCCATTTATGTTGATGTGACCACACATAAACACGAATAGTAGGCGACGCTGAGAATTTTAAATTCATTTTTTTAATTTATGTTTTGGGTATATAGCCTAGCCCCCAAAGTCCAACTCTTACCTCACAGTCGGTGGCGGGGGTAAACGGTAGTGTCAGAGCTATGTTCCTGACACACACGCCGGCTAACAAGGGCTCTGGTGAAAATCCAAGGAGCGTCTGCATCGGTAACCGGCGGCTTCTGGTCGTTCCTGTCTCTGCGTCTGTGGGAACCCCGCGGCAAGCAAGAACGTTATCCGAGTAGGCCTGGGTACCCTACTTCTGTAATTTATCCCAAGAATCTTCTTCTCATAACAGGAAGAAGCCGGCTCAATCCGCCCAGGGTGAATGCCGCATCAGTACAGTACAGTAGTAGTATATAGCCTAGCCGATCTCATTTAGTTTCTTTTCCTTTTTGTTTATATTTTTACCATTTTGTTATTAAATATCCCACATTGTGATAATAGAAGATCAACCAAAACATGTTAAATGTTGTAAGAGCCTGGTCGTAAATTCACTGGATGTTCTAGCGATTAAAGCACTTTCTATAATTTAGACAAGATTTGTCTACTTATTTTTAATAGGATGCGCTCGTAATTACTGAGAAATTTCTTAGTCTCCTTATTAAAGGAAGAAAGAAAATTACCATGTTGATGCATATTCATTTTATTCCGAGTACTTTCGACATTAGCACAATGTCATCATCAGCGTCTTGTTTGTTCTAATACAAAAAGAAATTGTGTTCATCATTTTTCTAAAACAAAATTGTTGTGTTCATCTGAAAATTAAATTTTTACGTGTGAAGTGAAAAACACTAAGATTATGTACTGTACGATTTTTAAATGTTATCATGTGCAAACGTGCACACGTCAAGGGAGGTAACTAAGTAATTGAATCTAAATATTTTTAAAAGAAAAAGATAAAACTATTTAAAACTATTAGTTAAAATCTAGATATTTTAAACATACTGTAAACATTTAAACATACTGTAAACATTTAAACATACTGTAAACATTTTTAAAACTTTTGTGCAGTATTCATAATTAATTTAATTAAGGTTTAGTTTCAATTTTTTTAATATCGATAGCTTCAAGAATTTTTTGTTTATGTTTATTATTTCATGAAGAATACAGATAATGTCGAAAGTACTCGGAATAAAATGAATATGCATCAACATGGTAAAATCTAAATTATTTAATGAGACGTGTCTTAATGAGAACATGCTGCCAAAATATACGCAATATATATATATATATATATATATATATATATATATATATATATATGAAGAAATATAGTTTGAAGGTGTGCTATATTTATGGGATAAAGTGCTCGATATCAGGAATAGAGCGTATGCAAATATGAAAGCGAACAGTGAAGTCAACACTCAGAAGCGACAAGCTGTTTCATGCTGGACGCAAACATAAGGCCACATGTGCTGGGTTTTTTCTCGGCTATTTATATATACAGGTCAGTGGTGCATTGTAGGTAGTCCATTCTAACCGTTATTTTAGCGGGAGTGGTTTGTGCCACTGACCCATACATATAAATAGTCGAGAAAAAACATCATATGTGGCCTGATGATTGCGTCTAGCATAAAACAGTCTTTCGCCTCTGAGTGTTGATTTCAATGTTCACTTATATATATATATATATATATATAATCACATTTTTTACCGCAACTCCCGCATAGTAAGAATACGGATGAAAAGCAAAGAATAAGCCCCCGGTAAGATTTGAACTCATATCCAATATCCTTGGGAGCCCATTTTTTCGTAACAACGTTTTAACGATTACGAAGGTTAACTAATAGACATCAACTAAAATGGCTTTGAACGAAGTGAAAAAAAAAATATTTAAAAAAAAAAACAGTTAAGAAAGTATCGAAAACGTAACAACGAAATCCGAACATGCACTGGAATAGCAAAAGGTGCCTTCCAAAAACTAAGCAAAGTATGAAGAATCAGGACAATTTCGTTAGGAACAAGGAAAATTGTAATGAACTGCTTCGTAATATGTAAATTTTTTACATTAGAATAGAGAATGCTGGACAATTTCCTCACAGATGAAGAGAAGACTTGAAGCGACAGAAATGTGGTTCTACAGAGGGATACTGAGAATACCATGGACCGAACATATGAGCAGCGACCTTGTTTTAGAGAAAATCTAAAAAGGATAATTTACATCAGAAAGATCCAGTTGAAATTTCCAGGGCACATAATGAGGAAAGAGGGCTTAGAAGATTTGACACTCACAGGACAGATTCTTACAGTTTGAATTCAGCTTTATATTTCCCTGGGTAATAGCTGTAGCTACTTAGTCTTTGTGGATTCATATGTAAATGAGTCGCCTAACTTGGGAAAGTGTGAATCAACTTTTCTTCCCCCAGATATGGGTTAATTAGTAAAAGTTGTATCAGTAAATGATTATTATATCCCCCCAACAAATTCTTATACTAGAAAAATATTTTTGGTTTTAAATAACTCGCAAAAAGTTTATAAACCGTAGAAATCAAATCAATCATTTTATATTAATAAAGGATCTTATTACTTGTTAACTAATGACCATGTACTGACAATCTGATTAGTTGTAATGTAATGAAAAACAACAAAGATAAAGATCAAAGAAGACTAGTAAAAAAAATGGACCGAACATGCGAGCAACAATGAAATTTTAGAGAAAATGGAAACAAAAAGGAAACTTATAATTAACATCAGAAAGAGACAGTTAAAATTTCTGGGACATATAACGAGAAAAGAGGGCTTAGAAAATTTGACACGCATAGGAAAGATTGATTTTATTCCTGTTATATATATATATATATATATATATATAGAGAGAGAGAGAGAGAGAGAGAGAGAGAGAGAGTCTTGAGCTGTTATACAATATCTGTCCTCCTATATAACAGTGAATTCTAGACAATCTTCTTCTTGCGGATGGAGAAAAGACTTGAAACAGCAGTAATGTGGTTCTACAGAAGGATGCTGAGAATACCTTGGAAGGGGCAACGAGATTTTATGAAAAGTGTAAATAAAAACCAAGATTAAGCCACCGGCAAGATTTGAACTCATATTCTATATCCTTGGAAGCCCGTCTTTTCATAACAGCGCCTTACCAATTACGAAGATCAACTAGTAGAGGTTATCGAAAATAGTTCTCGACAAAGTTAAAAAACAAAATCAAAAAAAGCTGTATGCCTGTGTTTAGTGACACCGATCTGTTTAGTAACGACATAAGACATGATGGCAATCCCGAAAGATGCTGGGATAAGTATGTATTGTCCTAAAGGAAGTATTTTGAAAGGAATAAGGCGCCATTGCTCTAAGTAGACTACATGTCCTTTGTAGCTCTTAGCAAATTTTATCTTTTCGGTATCCTCATCCCTATTCTGCCAACCGTTTACTCAAGCTCCTCTTTCTTTTTATTTTTCTTCTTCTTCTTCTTCTTGTATGTGCCGTGTCCCTTCAGAGCATGGGCGATCATGGCTCTCCACAATTTCCTCTCCTTTGTAACTTAGTAAATTTTATATTTTCGCGGTCTCTCCTAATCCCTGTTCTGCCAACCATTACTCAAGGTCCTTCTCTTTCTTCTTCTTGTATGTGCCGTGTCCCTTCAGAACATGGACGATCATGGCTCTCCACAATTTCCTCTCCTTTGTAACTTAGTAAATTTTATATTTTCACTATCGCCTAATCCCTGTTTGCCAACCATTTAGTCAAGCTCCTTTTTCTTTTTCTTCTTCTTCTTCTTGTATGTGCCGTGTCCCTTCAGTGTGTGTGTCCTTTGTAGCTTTTAGTATATTTTATCTTTTTCACTATCTCCCTAATCCCTGTTCTGCCAAACATTTACACAAGCTTGTTAGGTAAGCTATTTATGTGTTGCTTTCCTCTGTCCCTCTTGCTTTCATAATGACCGGTGCGTATCAAATTCTCCAAGCCCTCTTTTCTCATTATGTGCCCTAGAAATTTCAACTGTCTCGTTCTAGTTGTAAGTATATGTATCCTTTTTGTTTCCATATTCGTAATTGGTAAAGCGCTATTATGAAAAGACAAGGTCGCAAAGATATAAAATATCAGTTCAAATCTTGTCGGGGGCTTATTCATTATTGTTTTCCTATTTCCCTTAAAACTTCCTCGATGCTCAAACGTTAAGTCCGGGATTCTCTCAGTAACGTTCTGTAGAACCATATTTTGTTGTCTCAAGTCTTTTCTTCATCTCTGGGGAGATCGTCCAGCGTTCACTGCCATATAGGAGGACTGATATTACGTAACGTACTCTTTTCTTTGTTCCTAACGAAATTTTCCCGTTTCTTATTATTTAGCTTAGCTTTTGAAAAGCATCTTTCGTTATCCCAATGCGGCTTCGGATTACGGTGTCGCATTTTCCATTCTTTTTTAAAACACTTCTTAGAGATTTAAATTTTTGTACTTGCTTGATTTTGGTGTCTCCAATTCATAGTTCATCACAAATGATGGGCTATTCCTCTTGCTGACAAGCATACTTTCTGTTTGCTTACAATTGATAGTCCTTTCTTCTGGCTTTCTTTTATTTGCTTCTGCAGGAGTTCATGTTGTTTTCTTTTTGTATCTGTTATCAACACTGTGTCATTTGCATATCTTGTGTTGTTAAGACAGTGTTCGTCAATAATAAATACTAGTGGAATTTCTAGTTCTCTCAGGGTCACCTTGCTGTAGAAGTTAAATATGTCTGCTGAAAAGACACATCTTTGTCTTACGCCCCTTTTTTATCTTTCTGTATTTACTGAATTCATTTCCTATCCGTATACAAGCGGTTTGCGCCCAGTATATGTTCGGGATTATTCGAATATCCCTCCCAAATAAATATGGTATTAAATAAATATCTATATAGCTTTTTTTTATCACGCGATTTTAAGTTTAGTACGTCTATAAATATTACGGAACTTGTCCCAAAATATATGTTTTATTTAGTGTATGAAATGTACGAGCAAATAGAACAAATATTTTGGGACAAAAGCTTCTTTATTTCATTCAATATTAAATGGACTTTGAATGTTTACTTTACACGTTTCTTCTCTTTGTTTTTCGTGTTTTAAATTTGTTAGTTTTTACTTTCTTTCCTTTTCTACTTTTTTCTTTTCTTTTCTTCCTTTTTCTTTTCTTCCTTGTTATTTTCTTCTTATTGTTACTCTTATCCTTTCTCTCATTCTATTTTTCTTCTTTTGCTTTTCATTTATCAAATTTTTTTCTCTTCTACTTATCAATTCTCCTCCTCCTCGTCTTCCTACTCCAATCTCTCTCTCTCTCTCTCTCTCTCTCTCTCTCTCTCTCTCTCTTTATAGCTATCGCTCTTTCTTGAAATCGCATTTTCATTACTCTTTCTTTCAATCTCATTTCCCCATCGTCTTATTTTCTGCCTCTTCCTCGTCTTTGCTTTCCTGTTTACAGGCATTTTTTCTGCTTTTTTCTTTCCACCCCCCGCTACTAATTTTCCTTACCCCCCAACAAGAAATGCGTTATGGGTAGGTGTAGAAGAAAAGATATTGTCTGAAGTAAGTAAGCACAATTCACAAGAGGTGTGCGATAGTTGAGAAAGGGCGGCTAGTGAATACGGAGATGTATTTTTCCAATCAAACAAAAGATAGGTCAGCTGACAACGCAGGGTTTTTGATCATGTGATCGTGTCTGCTTGGATTTCAATGAAGATGGCCGCTGGCGCATGCGACGTAAAAAGCATTGTCGGTATTGCATAGGCTTTATTATATATATATATATATATATATATATATATATATATATATATATATATTTATGTGTGTGTGTGTGTGTGTGTCTAGAGATATACATATAAATTTCCGAATATATTTATGGATATCTACAAAGAGAGAACTGTAGAGAGAGAAAGCAGTGAAGAGGGAAAGTTAGGTTTCAATAGATACATTCGTGAATATTTCTATCTGAATATATAATTAGACATAGAGAGAAAAATAATATAGGTAGATAAACAAATATTAATCTATTAATGCAACTATATACATATATATATGTGTGTGTGTGTGTGTGAAAATTCACAAATAAAAATAAAAGACAATATGAATAAAGACAAAAGGAAAACTTATCTTAGCCGACGCGTTGTGTCCTCTGATGAACTTTATCAAGTCAAATGTAAGGATTTTATTTTGCAACAAGCATTTAGAAACAGAAGTAAAAATGTTGTTAATTTTTCTGAATTGTTAAATTTACGAAACGCTCATAAATACACTTCTGGCTAACTGAAAGTCAAAGAAAAAAAATCGTCTATTAGACATTAAATTACAGCACTTAGCATCCTCCATAGTTTACCTTGATTTTCAATAAGCCTGAAGCATATTTGTGAGCGTGCTTAAATTACGAAATTCTAAATGAGGAACATTTTCACTTCTGTTTATAGTAATTTTTCAAGCGTAGCATAGATGTGGCACAGGCCAAAAGCATGGCGCACCCAGTGAGGGTCGAACTCACTCCTCAGTCATAATATATTTCTGGCTAACTATATCAAAGTAAATGAGTATTGACTCAATTGAGGGTATTAACATGGTAGCTTACAATTTCAGAAAATGAAAATAAAAAGCATGTTATGTTCGTGGTACTCGCCACAAACCACAGCGATCAAAGTAGCCATGTAATTTGTATTTTTTCCAAATTATTCCAATAAGATATTTACATAACTGAAACTTGAGTGCATCTTATATGCCGCTAAATACGGTAAATAAAAATACAAATAAATTAGTAAAATAAAATAATCCAAATCAATAAATAAGTAAACAAATTAAGCAAATAATAAACAAAATAACTACTATGAACATATAAACACAAGTAAACGTAATAATAACAATCAACAACAAATAATAAAGTAATCAATAATAAATAATAAGTAAAAAAAAAAGAAGTTAACAAACAACAAAACTAGACACAAAAACGCATCCGGGTTCACAATTATTTCCATTCAGTGTCCCCTACAATAATTTGAAAGAACCGTTTTCGCCCAACTCAATAAGTGTTAGGGTAATACAATAGACCTACCTATAATACACCATTGACCATTGATAAATAGGTGATCCAAAACACAGCACACATGCTCTGAAGCTAGTGTTTAAGCATGAAACAAATTGTCACTGCTTGGTGTTGACCTCAATGTTTACTTTTATTTTTACATATACTCTACCCGTGATATTGAGAAAAATCAAGTGTATTGGAAATTTATCGGTGAGGGATTAAATGAAACATGCATACGTTCTTTTTATCCCGCTTCAAATGAACTCAAAAGAAACTTTTTAGTATGTATACAACGGGTCATAATTTCCAATATCTAGTTCAAAAGTTAGTTTGGGGGTATGGAAATATATTATAGCTAAATTTTCTTGTTGACAAAGGTTGTAGATATTGCTATGATTGTTGTAAAGTTTTGCATTTTTTTAATTTTACAATTTACAATCGGATCTTTTTTATTTTCTCCATTAATGTCCATGGTTGGCAAGTTTAGTAAAAGTTCTAAGGCTTTCTAAGTTAAAAGATGACTTATGATTGCACCACCTTTTTTAAAGTTACCCTCGGTACATACTGTGTATATTTTTTCTGACCATTTGTATCTATTACTTCTGCTTTGTAAATTACTGCTTCACTTTTGCAAACTTCATCGAATGGACACCTGCTTTTATTTCTACAATTGCATATATTATTGTTAACAATGTTTTGCTGCGTGTTAGTTTTGAAATTTCTGGCGTTTTGTCTTTTTATTGTGATTCCTAAATTATTAGTACAACTGTAGCTTAATTTAACTGTGTTTTTATTAAATATTTTATGTAATTCGTAATTTTGGGGGAAGTGTTTAGTAAGTAATTTGAAAAATATTTTCCCCATTTTATACTTAACCTCTAAGTTAACTTTTCAACCAACATATTTCCACGGGCCGCATATTAAAGGTCAAAAAGTCGTATATAACTCACGAACCGCGGTTTGGCCACCCTGATATATATATATAATATATATATATATATATAAGGTGGGGGAGTCACTCCAAAATATGCTGTCTAACGACATGTGTTGGAGATATGCCAGAAGAGACCCACATTATTTTTTGTTTTTGCCTCGCTATGTTACAGATAGCAGTTGAACTACAATGTGTTATTGACTCCATCTATACGAAAAAACATTAATCCACTGACAGTCATCAACGCTTCCAGAGACCATCGTAGTTAGTTAAACGTGCGTTGTTGTCGTCTAGTGGTCGCGAGTTCAATCCCTGAATCAGGTAGTGAAATAATAAACACTGGCAGGAATGAACAAAACCTGACATCCCAGGAACAAAATAACACTAGAATATCCCATATCAATCAAACAATGGACATCTGATAGTCTTCTTTTTTTTTTTTTTTATATGCAGTGTCCGCTCAGGACGTCGGCGATCATGGCTCTCCACAACTTCCTGTCCCTTGTAGCTCTTAATAAACTTTATCTTTCTGTTATTTCTCCTAAAGCCTGTTCTACCATACATTTAGTCCAACTATGTTACACATTGTTTTCCTTTGCTCCTCTTGCTCTCTATCTATCCCGTGAGTATCAGAATCCCCAAGCCCTCTTTCCTCATTATATGTCCTAGAAACCTCAACTGTCTTTTCCTGGTGTTAAGTAATAGTTTCCTTTTTGCTGGAAAAGTTCGTTGTTGCTCACGTCTCCGGCCAACGGTATCCACAGCAGCCTTCTGTAGAACTACATTTCTGTTGCTCCGATGAGATCGTTCAGTACTCATTATCATACAGGAGGATACATGTCACATAGCAGTTTAGTACTCTTTCCCTTGTTTAGTGCTCTTCTTAGCTTTTGGAATGCTTCCTTGGCTATCCCAATACGCCTTCGGATGTCAGTATCACATTTTACGTCCTCTGTTAAAACACTTCCCAGATATTTAAATTTCTGCGGTCGTTTGATTTTTGGTATCTCCAATTTGTAATTTGCATTGCTGGGCTGTCCCTTTTGCTAACAACTATTCATACTGTCTTCTTGCAATTGATGTTTAATCCTTTCTTCTCGCTTTCATTCACTACCTTCTGTAAAAGTTTTTTGTCATTTTCTTTCTGTCTCTGCTATTAACACTGTGTCATCGGCATACCTTATGTTGTTAAGATTGTGGCCGCCATTAATGAATCCTGGTAAGACTTCTAGTTCTCTCAGAATCGCCTTGCTGTATAAGTCCGATGAGAAGACGCATCTTTGTCTTAAACCCATTTCTATGTTTGTATATCTGCTGAACTCATTCTCTATCCGTATGCAGGCAATTTGCTGCCAGTATAGGTTCTTGATTATTCTAATACCTTTCCCAAATATATCAAGGTTGCTGAACAATTCCAACAGATCTTTTTGGCGTACTTTATCGAACGCCTTTGCGTACTCTATAAAACACAGGTACACGTCCTTCTGCATTTGTATTACTCTTTCTGATAACATTCTGAGCATAAATATCACATGCTTTATGTTGTGTCTGTGACAACATTCAAATAGTTTACCAAAAAAAAAAATAATAATAATTGTCAGATATACATTTTTTTGCGAAAGGAATGACTAATGCTCCCAAGAAAATTAAATTTCGGCATTAAATGACCCATAAAGTGTTGATATGCCGTTAAACAAACTAAACAAAACCAATAATTATCATTGCTTTATCACTTTATATTGAACATTGTATTTGCAAGGATCGCTTGTTTTAAATCTTCTGGAATTACCAGGTCGATCGTATTTCTAGCAAAATAAAATCTTTATTATAATTGTTGTTGCGATATTTTATTACATAATTTAAATCTATCAACGAAATAATAAAGAGTTCTCGTCTTCAGTCATTTCTGTACACTACTCTCCTCGCTGCCCACACTTCTTCCCTTAATTCTTTCACTGTATTTGTCCCTGATGGCGAAATAAAGGTGACGACCTATCACAAAAGGTGAAAATGAAAAGACCCATCGTCGTCAGACAGCTTAAGGGCAAAGAAACAGAAAAACAATGATGATTCACGTGTGAAACTGTCTCTCTTTTCTTTCTTTCTTTTTTAATCCCAGCCCTTCATCTAAATGTAAACAGACTGAGCATGCGTACACGGTCAACAGTATTAAAATGCATAAGGGCTTGTTTATAAGAACAACGAAAAGAAATTAGGAGTAGAGTGTTTAATACTGGAGAGTGAAGATGTAGCGTGATTGCAACTGAAATAAAACCTCAGGCGATTCCAGCTTTTGCAAATCCCCTACTACAGCTGGTTAATGATTTATTTCATATTTCTCTTCCTCAGGTTTTTCGTGTTTACAAAGAAAGAGGGAGACAATAAAGGAAGAAAATTTACTCACAGAGTAGAGATAAACTTAAAATGAGGATTTGTTTTGTTTTCAATACACGAGCCGTCTGTCTCGTATAATTAAAGGACAGTTTAAAGTAATAATGACATTTTCGTGATTTGTTTAGATCAGGAATTTGTGGCAGATGGTTAATACATGACCCGA